GCTCCATCCCATAATAAGGTTTGTTGGCCTGCCAAGCACCCCCCCATTCTTAGCCTGGGAGGGGGGGCTCCCAAGGGCGCCCCTCTGGATGGGTCGCGTTGGGGGGGGCTGCTGGGAGTTGTAGTTGTAGACCTCCTTGGAGCCCCCCCCAGTTTCAAAGGGGGGTCTGCAACCCTCCAGGTGTCTGCTCGGGGGGGGCGGTTTCAGGGACCCTCGAGCCCAGCATGTCTGAAAGCCCCCCTCCCCCCCAATTGGCTTTGCAGCTGTGCTGGGGTGGGGTGGCCATTTCTGAATTGCCCCCCCCTTCCTTTCTGATTGCTCCTGTCCTGTAGAAAGCTGGGGTGGAAATTTGGGGGAGATGGACCCTTACCTCCCTTGACTGGGGGGGGGTCTGTGAATTTGGGGTGCAGTGGGAGGAGGTGGACAGAAGTGAGACACTTAAGCCACCCCTTAATTTAGAATTAAGGGTTTGGTTGCAATAAAGTTTATTTAGGATCGGAGTAAACTTACCTCTCAAACTAATAGATGCCACCCAGGTCTGTTATCTGGTTCAGCTTCCTTGATCTCAAAAGATCTAGGCAAGATTGGGGGGGGGCAGTGGTTTTCTTCCATCCTTCTGAGGTCGCTAAATGAGGACCCAGATTGTTGGGGGCAATATGCAAATAATCCTGACATTGTCAATTGCCCAGAGAGTGCTCTGTCTAAAGCGCTATGGGATGGTATATAAGCCTAAATGCTATAAGCCTAAATGCTGTTGCTGTTTCCACAAAAAAATGGACCACCATTTGTCCTGGATGGAATAAGGAAGGACTCCTGTCTTGGGACATGGGGTTGGACTAGAAGACCTCTGAGTTCCCTTCAGCCCTGGGATCCTATGAATGTTGGCATACAGGAAAGGCGAGAACGGATTAGGGAGTCGAACAGCATCCCACAAGAAGGTGGTTTGCAAACAGCTTCCGTGCTGTGGCTAAAAACACACATCCAGGCATGCTGGCGTAGTCTCCAGAACTTGGTCACAAATCAATCCCTGGTTGTCTGATATTTAGGCCATAAACAGAGGAAGGAGAGAAGCATGCTAATCATATCTGTGAAGCATAACTTGATTTGAAGCTGCATGTAGCCCATGCGCGGGGTGCCAAGTCCTGCTTTCGCACAGTCTCAGATAATTTGGTGTATCGGGTCTGTAAAGAAGAAATTATCATTTGTCTCTTGGAATCTGGTATTGGAATGACAATGAAATATCTTTAGCGCCCCCCATGCCCCTCCCAAGCTGGTGATGGAGTGGGGTAAGTAGGGAAATGTTGCAGGCACCTACTCAGTGGCAGATCAGGGAAGTATTAAAAGAAAGAAGCATCTGCAAGAGTTAGGGAGAAAAGCTCGTCACCCCAAACCGGTTGGGAAGCAACCACCCCCCTGCTGCCATAGTGACGGTGGAGAATATAGAAGGCGTGTGCGGTGCTTCTATATCTCGGAGCGCGTACAAATATGGGAGTGGGTGTGATTGACTGAAGACTGGAGACAACTTTGGCACAGGCAGACTTTTGAGCAAGGAAGGATCTGTCTAGAGCAGGAGTAGGCCACCTTGGCTCTTTTATGACTCGTGGACTTCAACTCCCAGAATTCCTGAGCCAGCCATGCTGAGGGGAAAGGGAGAGGTTTCCAAGCTGAGCCATGCTGGCTCAGGAATTCTGGGAGTTGAAGTCCACGAGTCATAAAAGAGCCAAGGTTGCCTACCCCTGCTCTAGAGAAAGGGTTCTCCACAATTGGCCTCGGGGGTCTTCAGACAAGAAGCCACGGATGGAAACTCACCAAGGAGAGAAGCAACCTGGACCTAAGGAGAAATTTCCTAACAGAACAATCAGTGGAACAGCTTGCCACCAGAAGTTGTGGGTGCTCTATTACTGGAGGTTTTCAAGAAAAGCTTGGACAGCCATTTATCCAGGATGGTACAGGCAGGTCTCCTGCTTGAGCTGCGGGGTAGACTAGAAGACCTCCAAGCTCCCTTCCAGCTCTATTCTGTTTGAAGTGCAAGTTGCTGGCCATCATTTGAGGCCCTTTCAAAGGGTTTTGACTACAGGTAGTCCTTGACTTACAACCGTTTGCTTTGTGACTGTTTGAAGTTAACAGTGGCACTGGGAAAAATGACTTTAGGACCGTTTTTCACATTTACAACCTTTGCAATATCTCCGCGGTCGCGTGATCAAAATTCGGACACTTGGCAACTGATGTGTATTTACGACGGTCGCAGCGTCCCGGGGTCACGTGATCCCCTTTTGCGTCTTTCTGACAAGCAAAGTCAATTCGGGGGAAGCCGGCTTCGCCTAACAGTCGTGGCACTAATTTAACAGCCGCAGCGATTCACTCAGCAACTGTGGGAAGAAAGGATGTAAAATGAAGCAAAACTCACTTAACAACCGTCTTGCTTAGGAACAGAAATCCTGGGCGCAGTTGCGGCCCTAGGTCAAGGACCGCCTGTATGTCTTGGTGGTGTGAACTCAACCGTCGTGGTTTATGAAGCTGGGATCTCCAGCCTGCTTTTCCTGGCGCCATATTCCTTGCCCAGCAGGTTTTGCAAGTCTTTTTGAAACAATTTTAAAAAAGCCTTGCACCCTCCGTCTGTCAGAGCTGGAGGGAGGGGTGCGTCCCTGCGTGGTCGACCACGATTCAAGCCCCCCTGAAACGAAACCAAAATCATCTCTTTAAGCCACCCTAATTCTAGAAAATAACGTGCTACCTGCCTGCCTTTCTGAGGCTCTGGGTCCTGTCCCAGAGTTTATTCGGGACAGCAGTTTTGGGAGGCTTGGTGAAGCTTTTAACTGCCTCCTTAGTGCAGCCTGTAATCATTAACTCACTAAGCCTGTTTGCGTTGGCAGCGAGGTGGAGATGAGACAGCGCTGGTTGTGTTCAGTGTGGGTTGGCCCTGAGATGCCAGGGTTACCCTTGGAAGCAATCTTTGGCCTGCGGGGTCTGCGAAATGCCTCTCTTGAGTTCCCTTTGCGCTATGATTTTGTTCGTTTCTTTATTATAAATACGGTACATCTGCGGCTTGCAAAGGACCCCTCAGGTTGTGTGTCCCTGTGCCACCCCATCCAGAACCAATGATGAAAGACCCCCAGATTTGGGCGGTCTTGGTCTTGTTAGGGTCCAGCCAAAACCTGCTCCTCTCCATCCAGTCCACCCCAGGCTCCAGGCACAAAACTTTCTGGCCCCACTCGGTCAGCCCAGAGTAGAAAGCTATAACTGGGTGTCCTTGCTCTACTGAAATCTCTGGAGAGTCTCAGCCACCCAGGTTGTGGGTTTTTTTCAAGAGGCAACCGGACTTTCTTGGTTTTTCCTTGAAGGATGTCTTCCTTCCAACAAGGAGACCCTCCCAATGCTGGCCTTCCAACCCGCACAGCTTGACCATGATGGTTAGTAGGAAATGGAGGTTGAGGGAAGACAAGGATGGACCGTTATCATCTTGAGTCCTGGTCCTCTCCAAATGTGATCGGTGCCATTCTCCAGCCTGAAACCCAGCAAATGATATCCAAATTATCTGCTTCCTCCGCGGCCTCTGAACAACAACCCAAAAAGGAAAGGCTGCAGGCAGGCTGGATGCTAGCCAGCCCTTCACCTTAACTCCTATTTGCAAGCAAGGATTTCCCTGTCAAACTTTAGAAGGGAAACAGGCTCAAGGACACCCGTTACTTATTATTCATTGATCCCATTTATACGACTGCCGGTCCCCCAAGAAGCAACTCTGGGTGATGTACAACGATCAGTAGAGCAACAGTACAGGTTGTCCTCGACTTACAGCAGTTCACTTAGTGACCGAAGTTACAACGGCACTGAAAAAAGTGACTTATGGCCATTTGCACACTCAATGACCATTGCAGCAACCTCAAGGTCAGGTGATCAAAATTCAGGCACTTGGCAACTGATTCATATTTATGACGGTCGCAGCATCCCGGGGGGGGGGGGTCACGTGATCCTCTCTTGTGGCCTTCTGACCAGCAAAGTCGATGGGGGAAACCAGATTTGTTTAACGACTGTGTTGCTATCTTCACAACTGCAGTGATTCATTTAACAACTGTGGCAAGGAAGATCATAAAACGGGGCAAAATTCGCTTAACAAACATGTCACTTAGCAACGTAAATTTTGGCGCTCAGTTGTGGTCGCAGGTTGAGAGCTGCCTGTACAAAAGCCTTCATTTTAAAGAGATAAAATGTCACAGCGAAAAATGAAAAACATGGTAAAAATTTGAAGTATGCAAAGCAACGGTGGGAGCGTTCTTCATAGTTGCTCAAGAGAGGAAGGTCTGCGTTTTTCCTGCCACTTACTAACTGCAATTTAAGTTTTTGCTTCTAAACGCCACTGAGGTTTTTCTTGGCCTCTTGGTCTTATTTCCCAGCATCCCCCAAATCCTCAAGACCTGGTCCGTAGATTTTCCTCCTTGTTCAGGTGACGGGTCCTTTTTGGTTTCGGGCCATATGAACGATCCGAGTCGTGTAACGGCTGGACGGTTAAGTTAATGAGAAGGAAGACATAAGCAGGAAAAGCAGGCTGATGCCAAGATCAGAAGTGTTTCTCTCGCACTACGCTGAACAAAGAACCCTAGGGCTGGAAGGAACCTCAAAGGTCTTCTAGTCCAACTTCCTGGTCAAGGCAGGAGACTTTATTCCATCTCAGTCAAATGGTTCTCCAGTCTATTTTTGAGGAACACTCACAACCCCTGGAGGCAGGCCGCTCCATTCATTAATTATACTCGCTGTCCGAAAATTTCTCCATAGTGTGACCTCTCTCTTGAACCAGCTTTAACCCATTACGTCTTGTCCTCTCCTCCTTTGGAGAATAAGACCATGCCCTCTTCTCTGTGACAGCCCCTCACATACGGAAGACAGCTATCGTGTCCCCCTGATTCCTTCTCTTCAACCCGCTAGACCACGGGTAGGCAACCTTGGCTCTTTTATGACTCGTGGACTTCAACTCCCAGAATTCCTGAGCCAGCATGAGGGAACTACGGCCCCCTCATGACTCGTGGACTTCAACTCCCAGAATTCCTGAGCCAGCACGGCTCAGCTTGGAAACCTCTCCCTTTCCCCTCAGCATGTCTGGCTCAGGAAGTCTGGGAGTTGAAGTCCACGAGTCATAAAAGAGCCAAGGTGGCCTACCCCTGCTCCAGACCCTTTGTCCTCTTTATTGATCATCTCTGCAGAATTTCTAGGGTCTCAGCGTTTGTTTTTTTTTTGTTTTTTGTTTTTTATTTTTGTGATTGGAACTAGATGCACCAATGCAGGGTTTATGCTCCTCACGCACTCTTTTTGCATGATGTGGGATGTTTGCGCGGCTGGCCAGAATAGCCTGCCCTTAACTTGGGGTTCCCTGCCTCTCTTAGGCCCAAGTGGCTTTCCTGCAGGGGGAAAGGAAGGGGCAGGAGAACCTGAAGGCCGACCTCGTGCGGAGAATCAAGATGCTGGAGTATGCGTTGAAGCAAGAAAGGTGAGCCACCTTGCAGGTGGAGATTCGGAGGCGGGATGGGAGATACCCCTTAGTTCAGGGGTCCCCAAACCTGGCCAGCATAGGGGAATTCTGGGAGTTGGCGTCCCCAAGTCTTAAAAGTTGCCACATTTGGGGACCCCTGCCTTAATTTATTAAGCTGGAAGTCAATGCCCGAATTTTGGAAAGGGAAATATACTCTATTTTTGAACGTCCTCACAGTCTTTATGTACGTGTATATGGATGTGTTTATTCAACGCTTATCCTGCCTTTATTATTTTGTAAGTAACTCAAGGCGGTGAACATATCCAACGCAACTTCCTCCGCCTATTTTCCCCACAACAACAGCCCTGTGAGGTGGGTTGGACTGAGAGAGAGGGACTGGCTCAAAGCCACCTATTCAGTTTTCAAGCCTAAGGCGGGATTAGAACTCACCGTCCCCTGGTGATTGGCCCAAAGTCACCCATCTGGCTTTCACGCCTAAGGCAGGACTAGAACTCACCATCCCCTGGTGATTGGCCCAAAGTCACCCAGCTGGCTTTCCTGCTGAAGGGAGGACTAGAACTCCTGGTTTCTAGACCGGCACCTTTACTGTCAAACTGCCTTGCTGTGACCCCTCCTTTGAGGGCCACAGCAAGAAATTACTGCCGACATCCCACATCCTTTCCTAAGTTTTCCTCGTTGACTCCAGGTCAAAATACCACAAGTTGAAATTTGGCACGGAGCTGAACCAGGGAGAAAAGAAACCGGAGCCTACCTCTGAACCAGGTAACGGGGCCGGGCTCACGGCTGCACCTCGGCCAGGGGAATTCCGGTTCCAGGGCCGAGGGATTCGCTGACGGGCCTCTCTTCCACGCTTAGTGTCCAACGGGCCAGCCGAGCTCCTTTCCCTGGAAAACAGCCCGTTCATCTGGAAAGAAGGACGCCAACTCCTCCGCCAGTGAGTAGAGGGGGTTTCAAGGGGGGGGTCCTCCAAAGGCAGGGGAAGTGCACCGGCCCTCCCCACTGGGGGTTTTGGGGCTGCCAGCCTCTTGGCAGCTGTTTTGGGGTCAGCATTAACAAGGAGTGTGCCAGGTTTTCATCCTGATGAACTGTGCATTTGACACGGGGGTTCCATCCCTTCTGGAAGGGCCACAGTCCTTTTCTGGGTGTCTTCTCAGCTTGAGCGAGGCCCCTCTGAGCCAAAACTGGGCTCTTTCCAAGGTTTTGGCCAACACAGGTAATCTCCCACTTAACGACTGGAACGGAGCCTGCCCTGTCATGGTCGTAAGTCATGTAAATAACTAAATATAAACTTTCTAAATAAATAAAGTCGGGATGGCTGTAAAACGGGCCAGCCACGGGTCCAATCTGATTTTTAAGACCTCTTTCTCATGGCAATCATTAAGCGAGCCAGTGTTTTGCTATGGGCCACGTCACCCAAAAGGGGAAGTAAATGCAGGTTTTCAGCAAAACTTTGGCAAAACACAGTCAGGTAACCCTGAGATGCTGCAAATGGACGTAAACGCAGGCCGGTTGCCGAGCACCCAGGATGCAGTCACTTGATTGGGGGGGCATGCGGCCGTCGTAGGTTTGGAACCAGGTCGTAAGTGCCTCCAGAGCGGCCCGTCATAACTTTGAACGGCTGCAAAATGAGGACTACCTCGGTGACCTCGAGGCCACCGGTTGCCAACCGGCCCGTTTGACTAAGGGCCACCTTTCCCCTGGACCCCGGGGGTCTCTCCAGGTATTTGGAAGAAGTGGGCTACACGGACACCATCCTGGACATGCGCTCCAAGCGGGTTCGCTCCTTGCTGGGTCGCTGTTCCGTGGAGCTGAACGGGGCCGCCGAAGCCAGCGGCGTGGGGACCGGACCAGCCCTGGGGCCCACCAGCCTGAACGGAGGCGAATCGCTTCTGGTCAAGCAGATCGAGGAGCAGATCAAAAGGTGAGTGGCTTGGGGCGTCTGTCTGGGTTAGAATGACCTCGCTGGGACGCTTGGTTTGCGGGCGCCCATCACTGCTGCTTTTGTTAGATTTCCTGGAACAAGGAAGTGGGGTACGTGCAGTCTGTCCTCGTACTTCCTGTTTGATGTCGACATTAAGGAGGTCGCGGTAGCAGTGATGATTGTACCTAGTTTGGTAATGAAATGTCTGCTGGAAAACCACCAAGCTCAGAAAGCATTAACAATCCCACAGTCGTCGTCCTCCTCCTCCTCCTCCTCCTCCTCCTCCTCCTCCTCCTCCATCATCATACTATTCCTTTCTAGCACTGATGATGTTACCTAGCTTGGTAATGAAATATCTGCACATCCCACAGTCCTCCTCCACAACTAGCACTGATGATGTTACCTAGTAGGGTCATGAAACGTCTGCAAGAAAACCACCAAGCTCAGAGAGCACCAGGACCCCACAGTTCTCCCCCTCCTTCCCACACACCCCATTTTCTTCTAGCACTGATGATGTCACCTAGTTGGGTCATGAAATGTCTGCAAGAAAACCAAGGAGCGTAGAGCGCACCAAGGATCACACAGCCCTCCTCTTCCTACTCCTCCACCACCACCACACACACACACCCTTCTAGCACTGATGAGGTCACCTAGTTGGGTCCTGAAACGTCTGCTAGAAAGCCCCCAAGCTCAGAGAGCACTGAGGACCCCACATTCAAACCCCGAGCTACAGATATTCCTTCCGACAGAAACGCTGGGAAGGAGGCGACGGACCGGATCAGCAACACCGTCATGGAGAAGATCCCCTTTTTGAGGGGCTGCGAGGACGACGACAGCGACGAAGAGGAGGATTTGGAAGGCCTGTCCCTGGAAACGCAGCGCCAGCACAAGAAGCAGCGCGTAAAGGTATCCCCTTCGCTCCTTCTGAGGTTGCTGGGGTGAAGCAGACACTGGCAGGCAGGCAGGAGACTACGCTGCTGGGTGGCGCCCAGTCTCCGGTGAGGACTAGAACCTTGTCATTTTAAGGATGGAAACTGGATTTCGGCTATTCTTGCAATCAAGTTTCTAAAGCAAAGCTGCCCCTGGAGCGTGAAATGTGCAGCCCACAGCAGCCATTTTGGACACATTTTGGAAGTGTTTCAAGGGCGTGAAAGTTTTGCCCGTTCCTAATTCGATTTATTAATCAAGAGTTCTTCCTTTAAAACAGGGGTGTCCAACCTGGGCAACTTGATGACTCGTGGACTTCCACTCCCAGAATTCCCCAGCCAGCTCATGCTGGCTGGGGAATTCTGGCAGTGGAAGTCCACAAGTCTTAAAATTGCCAAGGTTGGACCCTCCCGCTTTAAAGCATGGGTTATCAATCACAGCGTGGGTCCAGTTAGTCACGCCTTTTGCTGTTTTAATTTATTCCTTTAGTTTTCAAGTGGAAAAGGCAAAATATCAGCCTGTTGCCACCGAGGTAGCCCTCGTTCACTGAAGAAGCCCTGCAGCTTCACAACAGGGAAACTCTGAGAATTAGGAGGCCTTATCGGGGACATTTTCCCCTTCCGTTCGATTTGGGGCACATTTGGGGCATATTTTACAGCCTCTTCACCTCCCGTCGTGCGCCAGACCCCAAACTGCTTTTCTGTGGCCAAATTGGTGGAATCCCCTGGATGTGGATTAGGGAAGCAGCTGTAACCCAGGTCTGCTGGCCGTGCTTTTCTTGGCAGCTCGCCAGCAAGCCCCTGATGCCCGAAGTGGAGGACGAAGATGACGATGAAGACTCGGAGGACGCCCTGAGCGAGTTTCACTTCTTGGGCTCCGGGGAAAACGGGGAAGGGTCTGGTGACAGCCGGTGTGCTGGAGATGGCAACGAGCTGGGTAAGTTCTCTGTGGAGTCGGCAGATGGTCTCCTCGCTTCTTTTTCTGTGAAGGGCATCGGGAAGGAGAAAGGTGAGAAGGCAGTTAAATGGGGGGGGGCTGCATCAGATGCCTTGTTGCGTCGCCACTGAAGCTGCTGGGAGCTAGAAGATGGGTCCTTGCTCAGGAACAGGAGAGGCTGCCTGAGACGCCAGACCCAAATTAACAGAATAACAGAGTCGGAAGGGACCTCGGAGGTCTTCTAGTCCAACCCCCTGCTCAAGCAGGAGACCGGCCTATATCATTTCAGACTGCAGGTAGTCCTTGACTCACAACAGTTCGTTTAATGACCATTCAAAGTCATTAAAGTTCAGAGTCGTTCAAAGGCAGGACAAGAAGCAGCGGATGGAAACTCATCAAGGAGAGAAGCAACCTAGAACTAAGGAGAAATTTCCTGACAGTGAGGAAAATTAATCAGTGGAACTCCTTGCCTCCAGAAGCTGTGAATGCTCCAACACTGGACGTTTTTAAGAAGAGACTGGACAGCAATTTGTCTGAAATGGTATAGGGTTTCCTGCCTGAGCCGGGGGTTGGACTAGATGACCTCCAAGGTCCCTTCCAACTTTATTGTTGTTAAAGTTACAACAGCCCTGGAAGAAGTGAGTTATGACCGTTTTTCACACTTAGAACCGTTGCAGCAGCCAAAGGGTCACGTGATCAGAATCCGGATGCTTGGCAATTGACTCATATTTATGACGGTTGGACGGTCCCGGGATCATGCGATCCCCTTTTGCAATTGCCTGACAAGCAAAAGTCAAGGGGGAAGTCAGATTCTTCCCTTAACGGCCCTGTCACTGACTTAACAACAGCAGTGATTCAGAAAGAAAGAAAAAGAAAGAAAGAAAGAAAGAAAGAAAGAAAGAAAGAAAGAAAGAAAGAAAGAAAGAAAGAAAGAAAGAAAAAGGAAGGAAGGAAGGAAGGAAGGAAGGAGGAAAGGAAGGAAAGAAAGAAAGAAAGGAAAGAAACAAAGAAAGAAAGAGGAAGGAAGGAAAGGAAGGAAGGAAAGAATGAAAGAGGAAGGAAGGAAAGAAAGAAAGAAAGGAAGGAAGGAAAGGGAAAGAAAGAAAGAAAGAAAGAGAAAGAAAGAAAGAAAGAAAAGAAAGTGTGAAATGAGGCAAAACTCATCCATTGTTTTGCTTAGCAACAGAAACTTTGGGCTCCACTGTCACAAGCCGAGGCCTGCCTGCGTTGCCTCTGGTGACCCCTTTGTGCTCCCTGAATTTCAGAAGAAGTGCCTGATTGGCAACGGTGGAGGCTGACTCAGTTTCCCTTCCCTGTCTGTCTTCCAGGGCCCCGCCGGGTGAAGCTGCAGGGGATGCTGGCTGATCTTCACGACGTGGATGGACTCTCTCCTAAGCCTTCCATCCCGTCAGCCATGACTTCCCAGCCCAGATCCCACGAAGGTGACGGCTTGGCTAGACCCCCACACTTTACGGCCTCCGATTTCCCTTTTCTGTCGTTCTGCCCAAAGCGTCTCTTCCTCCGCCCTGCCCCGTCCCAACTCTGTCCTTTCCTCTCCCCAAATCAGGGTCGCTGGGCTTCTCCTCAGACGTCTTTATCATGGACACCATCGGAGGGGGGGAGGTCAGTTTGGGCGACCTCGCCGATCTGACCGTCACCAACGACAACGAGCTGAGCTGCGACGTGAGTAGCCTTGGAGGGGCGACCGGTGTTCTTGCCGCTCCCCTTCGCCTGCCTTGTCCTCTTGCACATTTCACTTCAGCCCCCCCCCCCCTGTGCTGTTGGGCGTGCCAAAAGAGAGGGGTCTGTAGGGCGGGGGAAGCCCCGGGTGTTGAGTCTTTGCTCTCCTCCTTTCCCAGCTCTCGGACAGCAAAGACGCTTTTAAGAAGACGTGGAACCCCAAATTCACCCTGAGGAGTCACTACGATGGCATTCGAGCCCTGGTCTTCCACCACCGGGAGTCGGCTTTGGTCACGGCCTCGGAGGACGGCACCCTGAAGCTGTGGAACCTTCAGAAGACCGTGGCTGCCAAAAAGTGAGCCCCAAGGGAAACTAACTGACTGACTGACTTACTTACTTCCCTCCGTTCTGTCTATCTATAGATCTCTCTATCTATATGTATCCTGTCTGTCTTTCTGTCTCTGAGTCTCTCTGTCTAAATCCCCTTATTGGGAAGATGGGCAGCATAAAAAATTAATAAATAAAATAAAAACTAAAAATACTATCTATCCCCTCTCTCTCTCTCTCACTCTCTCCGTCTGTCTGTCTGTCTATCTATCTATCATCACTATCCTATCTGTCTGTCCGTCCATCTGTCTATTCTATCTATCTATCTATCTATCTATCTATCTATCTATCTATCTATCTATCTATCTATCTATCTATCTATCTATCTAATCTATCTATCTATCTATCTATCTATCTATCTATCTATCTATCTATCTATCTATCTATCTATCTATCTATCTATCTATCTATCTATCTATCTATCTATCTATCTATCTTCTATTGCTATCCTATCTATCGATCAATCAATCGATCTATCTATCTCTATCTAATTTCTATATCACTTCTGTGTCTCTGGGCAGTTTTACATCAGTAAAATCGTGTGAAATCTATAGTTAAAATCACAGTTAGAACCCAGATTAAGACAAAGTTTAAAAAAACGGCAGAGTCCAAAGGCAGAGGAAGCACCTTCAGCCCACCAATCACCCCCAGGGGTTGCAGGGCCTTCTTTGCACCCCAGGCCAGTTGGCAGAGCCAGGTTTTCACGCTCTTCCGGAAGACCAGGTGCGTGGGGAACCGCATCACCTGTGGGGTCAAGATGTTCCATAGGGTGGAGACAGAGAAGGGTCTCCCCCTGCCTTTTCACTGGAGCAGGGCCCTGGGCCCCTCTGTGGGAGTGCCATGGCTTCTGCCGAAGGATTTCTGCTGTCAAGGTGTGTTACAGGCCGAGCGCCAGCCAGTTAAACCCCACGAGGCTTTTTGACAGGACAGGAGCCACATGAGGTCTGGAGGGCACCAAGTTGGGGAAGGACGGGTTAGCTGAGCCCTCGATCCACTGGCCCCGTTTGATTCCACTCTGCTGACGTTAGGCTGCTGCAGGCCAGGTGGGGAGACCCCTTGGAGCCCCCTGAAACCAACAGGATTTCCAGGGGAAAAGAGACCAAATCGAGAAGACCCCTCTGATATTGTTTGGTCCTCTCTCTTCTCTTCCGGTTACAGGAACGCCGCTTTGGATGTGGAACCGGTCTACGCATTCAGAGGACACAGGTGCGCGGATGTGCTTGCTGCGGGGGGGCGCTTTTTCTAGGATGCAGGAAAGTGCAGGCATCCCTGACTTACAACAATTCATTTAGTGACCGTTCGGAGTTACAGCG